GGGTTTAATATTTTTCCTAGAACTTTTTTTTTTTTTTTTTTTTTTTTTTTTAAAAAAAAAAAAATGAAATTTTAAAAAAAAAAAAAAAAAAAAAAAAAATCACATTATATGAGATTTTTCTCCTCAAACAATGGCTTTCACAGAACACTGATGAGAGGCAGCACACCCTCTGCAAAGAAGAAGTTAGCCAGTAGCTTCTCCATGCCCCGCTGTTCCCTACCAAGAGTGTAACCTAAGCAGCAAACCATTATATTTGAAGACTCTTCATACGTAGAATTTAACCAGGGGCACAGGTAAGACACTTTGGCTGAAATAACAGAATTAAGCCCATGGTTTAATCAGCAGAGAATGGAATAATTAGGTTTAAGAGAAGCGTGCTCTACACCCCTTACCCATCCCTCCTGAAAGATCTCAGTCCCTTCCTTACAGTCTATATTCCCCAAGTGTCCCCTCTCCCTTCCTCTGCTCCACACAGCAGCAGCAATAGCAGTTCTGGCCAGGCAGAACCACCCCAGTCTCCGCCATGAAAGTCCCAGAGCTCCTCTTGCTCCCCTGGGAACAGGCAGCTCCAGTCCAGGGATGAGGGCCAGTTCATCCTTGAAAAAAAGTGTGTTTCACTTCCTTTCACTTGTTCACATTTTTATTTTAAGCTTTGTTTTTAAGCTCCTCTTGAATGTGTATAGTAGATTTTTGCAGCATTACAGATTAGGTCATAAAATTCATATTCCACGTATTCACCAAGTTCTATACCAGTTATTCTAGAGGAGGGAAGCACACTCTTGGAATACATTTGATCAGGCAGAACATGTAAGACAAAGTGAGATACTAGGATTATAAGCACATTTAAACATGTGTCAAACAAATCACTTTAAGTAATTTAAAGCAACACAGCCTAAAAATAAGATTTCCATAGATTAAAAAAAGGAAATTCACAAGGCCTGCACAGCAGCACAGTGTGGGTATTCTACATAGACTTCTCTTCTGAATTATACACTGATAATGCTTCAAAAAGTTAATACCTCTCAATATTCCATACATGCGAATAATTTCATGGTCCACAGAAAGCACTATGAAGACAGAATAGAAATTTCATTGCTTGGTTGTAATGAAATCTAGCACTGATGCTGCTGGCGATCCAAGTGCATACAGGAGGAAACGACAAAAATATAGTTCAATAGTCTTCCACCTTACATGAAAAACATTTTAAATCAGGCTAACCAATGGGGAATATTTGAAGTTAGCTTTGATACAAACTGTCACTGTAGTTTAAAGAAGGTTCGACCTTCTGTCTTTTCTAAAGATGCCTGCCCTCTTTTTATATTTATTTTACCAATAAATACAAACAGATCCATACAGGAACAGTGCTTTTGGACAATAGCTTTTTTTAAAGGGACAAACTTTCCCCTTAAGGTCTTCATAGGGCCAACATTAAAATTAACCAAACAATAAACAGTACTTCATATGGTCTTAATACTAAGTATTTCCACAGTAAAGTCTCTCTGAAATTCTCCAGACTAGTATCTGTTTTGATGCACTGATGGAAGTCAGAGTAGATTATCCAGAGTTAAAAGTACAAAGGCAATAAGGAGTGAGAAGAAACTAAGAGTGCAGTTAAATACTTCTGGGCATCCAAAGGAGAAAGCTAGATTTATTTATTTTTTTAATACACTAAACAAAAACATAACAGGGAATCTCTAACCAGGTCATTATTTCAAAGTACAGTCTATTCCTATCATCATAGCACAGTGTTACCAAAGATGGGGAAAACTATACTTCAGATACATAACATAAAAAGAAACAATAGTAAAATAATTAAATACCGAGTACAAAAATACCGCAGAAATATTCATTAAAAACTACTATCTTCTAAATTGTAAAACAATTTAACTGCACAATATAAGCTGAATAGTAGTACTAAGTTTAAAAATTATGTGATATTGAAAGGAGAAATGAAAGTAACTAAAAAAAAAGGTGACTCTCTAAAGGAAAAAAACATTGAAGGTAGGAAAAGTTTCCTATCCAAAGGCAAGCCTAATTCTAGAAATAACACATACACTGCTCTTTTATTCGCAAAAATAATTACTGTAGAGAGGTTGGTGCTGGTCTCTTCTCACAGGTCATTAGTGACAGAACGAGAGGGAATGGCTTCAAGCTTCAACAGGGTATGTTTAGATTGAACATTAGGAAAGAATTTTTCACCGAAAGAGTGATAGGGCATTGGAACAGGCTGCCCAGGGAGGTGGTGGAGTCACCATCCCTGGCTGTGTTTAAGGGCCGTTTAGATGCAGTGCTAAGGGACATGGTGTAGGGGATGACTTTGTAGAGTAGGGTAGATGGTTGGACTCGATGATCCCAAGGCTCTCTTCCAACCTAGACGATTCTATGATTCTATGAAAAAATAACTGAGACAGTCCTAAGTCATTTCTGGTCAGAAGGCAGGGGTTTTGATCTGGTTGGTTTTGGTTATTTTAAGGTGGGAGAGAAGAGGAAGGAAAAGATAAAAATTAACTAGGACAGCAGAGAGCTATTGAAGATATCACTCACACAGTTCTCATTCCAAAGATGAGATCCCCCAGCATGAAAGGCGTGAAGAGTCTTTTCTCATAGGCTTCAATTTAAAGCCAAGATGTGTTTGCATATATTTTATGCCTTTATGCCTCTTACTACCAGAGACTAGAACATCTATAAAGCCATGTTCTTTATTCTACCGGTTTGCATTCTTCACAAGACAAAAATGGCAATGCAACTGAAACAAAATCTTAACATCAGAAGCAAAACACAGTGAAAAGTAAACCATAGTCAATACTTGAACATGAGTTACCATGAGACCGCTTTTCTGCAGCGTATTACATTTATCAGCCTGAACATTCTGAGGGAGCTTTCTCTATCACGATAGAGACAGAAACTTCACTAGGGCCCCCTTTTACTGTAATAAAGTTTAAAATGTCTTACAGTAGCATTTCTTCCACTGCTGTGCTCCATCACAAACCTCTGAAACTACAGCCTCAGAAGTATGGCAGCCAGACCTTACCGACAAGCCCTGATAGTGTATGAGGTGCAAAGCAAGTTACTGCATCCACACAGTACCCGTGGTGACAGCATCTGCACAGGGAGAAGTTTTCTCAGTAATCACTTAGCAGACAAGATATGTGAGCAAACAATGAAGTTCTCACATGACTTCAAATATATTAAAAAATGGTGCATGCAGTGCCAAA